ACAAGTAAGAAGATGTTCCTAACGTACTGTGTGCTGTACCATCATTTTCTACCTCTAGCTTGTTTTTACACCAAATATTAGCTAAAAAGAAAAATATCATTTATAATAGCTCATAACCAAATTTTTAATTAATTAAAATTTCACACTGAGGCTTTTAGAAAAATTAGATATGAACCTTCAACCAAAAATTTGCCCTCTCATTTTTAATTGAACCTCCATTATATAGGTAAGACATTTTATATATTAGCATTATATAGATCAATAAAATTTCTCAGTAAGTTCACATCTAAGGGAGAATTAATATTTTCCTAAGTTTTACCAGTAGCTCAGATGTGAACGTTTCCATAATACGAGTTTTTAAAAGTTTTGACTGCATGGTTCCATAGGTATTCTCAAAACTGCTTTGGAAAAAGACAATTGTTCAATTTTCATCACACATAATGAGTCCGTTTGCCCAGGAAGGAAAAGATTGATTTTGTCAATAATATTGAATTCGATTCAATTACTTTTGTTCTTCTAAAGAACCTCAGGAGGCCATTTCATCAGGAAAATATGAGAGCACTGACATTTTTATTTTGTCAGAAATGAATGCAATCTCATTTTTTCCTATATATATTTGTTTTTCATATTTTACATGGCTCTTGCTTATATACACAAATATCCCCTTCTGACATTCTTTTAATCAAATTCCCTATCTTTCAGGGACCAACACAAACAGTCTTCTCCAAGAAATCTAAGTTATAACTTACCCACAGGTACTTTTGAGGAAGTTGGATGTAGCAGAGTAGCACATGACAGAATATTGCTTCTAATAACTACGTGGTATGTGATACAGCTGGATCCTAAAGAAAATGGCCTGTGGCTTCCTAGTACAGTGAAGGGAAGACAGAATGACCTTGAGCGTGACTTTAGTACGGACATTTAATTAGCATTATTTCATCAATTTTTATCCCTGGTAAAAGCTGTTTACTCTTATTATTATCCCTTGCTACAGATGAGAAAACTGAGAATTGAAGTTATAAACTAACTCGCTTATTCATGTAGCTTGTCAGCAGCACAGTCAAGATTCAAACTCAGGTCTCGCTTGCCTCGATGCATATTCCTTATTACCGTGCTAATTCGTTCAAATTAGCACGTGCTGACAGTTTGAAGCAAATGTGTCTGTAGAAGTTTCTCTTTCATTTAATATTCACATTTATTTGTTGCTGACAAGAAATTGATTCTAATTTAGGAAACTTCCCCACCTGTGAAGTCTGTTGATTATTTTCCAGGTTTCAGTAGTTTTGAAGCTAGAAGAAAATACCACAGATCAGCTGCTTCTGACTTCTTTAGAGGGTGAAGAAAATAAGATTCAGGGACACTGACCAAGACATGACAGTTCTCTTGCCCATAGCCCAGTATCCTATCCTCCACGCTCACTGGCTTTACATCGGAAGCCAGTCTATGGGAACAACAACACAGTCCACCTCTTTGCCACATGGAGACATTCCATGTGACTAAGGATGTACATATATAGTTCACCCTTTATGCCTCTTGGTTCTGCATCCAATGGTTCAACCAACTGTAGATCAAGAACATTTTAATTATGTCTGTGAAATTATCTGAAAATAAATTTATTGATAATTTAAAGATTATGTGTAGATAAGGAGATACAGATTTCTCCCTTCCATTGTCCCCCCAAAATGCAGGGCAATGACTACGGAACAAGATTCACATTGTGTTAGGTGTTATCAGTAACCTGGAGATGACAAAGTACACAGAATATGATAGGCCTAGGACATGATAAAAAACTGCACCATTTTATAGAGGGGACATGAGGGTCTGTGGATTTGTGTGTGTCTGTTGAGTACTGGAAACAGTCTCTTAAAGATAGCAAAGAATACCATATCATCTATCATCATCTATCATCTATCTATCTATCATCATCTATATATCTATCTATCTATCATCTATCTATCTATCTATCTGTCTATCTATCATCTATCTTCTCTATATAGTTACATGTACACACATATATACACACATACAGATGTACACACATGCATCTCAGTATCTTCTCATGGAACTCATAAAATAACTGTGTTTTTTGGCCTTAAACAAAATTACCCCAGAGGCTTTTAATATGTGTTAAAATCAATTTTATAATCTTTCATTCCTCTTGCTGCCCAATTTGACCTAATAGTTTTCCTGTGTTTAGCCTCCTTTTTCTGACCCAATTCCTGTTAACGATGAGAAACCAGATAGTCAAACTTATGTTAAAGCCATGACTACATAAACACTAACAGACTCTGAGATAGTTCTTGGGGGACTAAGGAGAGAAGATGGATATGTTTCACAGGTGGCTTTTGTGACTCAGTTTAGATTCTAGAAAGCAGGGCGTTGGTTTTTTTTTTTTCTTTGCCTTTGATTTTGGTTTTTATTGTTTTGTATATTTGTTTGGTTTTGCTCATTGTGGTCTAGAGTGCGGTTCATGGATAAATACAATGTGAGTAAACACAGAAGCAGCGGAATGCTTTTCCAGGCTTCCATTTTTCAGCTTAGAAAACAAGTTCTAGTTTTCACATTATAGTTATTTTTTTTCCCATCATAGAAAGTATGACTCAGATCCCAGCACTCCAGTGGTAGAGACAGGAGTACACTGAGTTCAAAGCTTCTTTTGGGCTACATTGCAACATTCTGGCTCAAGAAAAAAATAAGAAAGAAACTGTAGCTCAGAAAATATGGAGGATTGTGAAATACAACACAGGTCTCTTTGAGTCCTCAAACCTTCTAGTCTTGCTGCACGTGGCCCCTCATTGCGGAGGTGACGTGATGGAGAATGTGCTGCTCCTCACTACCCTGTACCTGGATATAGTGGTGCCACGTTCCTGGGTGACTACAGGAAGAGGCCAAGTGGGCCCAGCAGCTGTCTAATCGGTGGGCTTAAGCCTTTAAGCAGATAACGCAAAGGCTTAAGGGCTGATATGAGCCAGGTGAAGCAGATTATTCTTCATTTTTGAACATTGTATCAGGTGAATCATTGGTAAATAGTGACAAAACAGTCAGGTAGACTATCCATTTTCATGTTTCCATACTTAGATATCTTTATTACAAAAGCAGAGTATTTGGTTACTACCAGGATCTTGTGAGGGCCATAGTAAAAGTACCTTCAATTATATTTGAATTCTGAACTGAGACTGTCAAAGAAAAGGCATGCATGTACAGGGGTCACAGAGTCCCCTCATTTGCTCTTATCTGTGCACAAGGGCATCAGTTTTTAAACCCATTTCCAAGGACACTTGCTCATGGACTGAAGCAGCCTCTCTACAGCGGGACTGGCTGTAAGCTTCTAGCAAGAGAGGATGGGTGGACCTTGGTGGTCAGTTTCTCATTCTGGACTCAATTCTGACCATCTAATATATCCGTCAGCCCAGATCTCCTGGAGTAAGTGTAGGGACAGACACAGGCAGAGGGACAGGGTTAATTATCTCTCCTTGAGCAAAGAAATCTGAAGATGAAGAATAAACATCCCCAAGTCTCAGGGGTAAATGCAGACATTTCAAGTCCAGTATTTATTGACCTGTCTATTGACTATACTTTGTGTATGTTGTGTCATTTAACTTTAAAATGCTTTACCCCATTCCAGTACCAGGTCCATAAACAACACTGTAAAGGTTTAATTCTAAGTATTATTTTCACTGTTTTATGAATGAGGAAGGGCAATCTTAGAGAAATTACTTAACTAGCTTAGTGTATAATAATTAGAAGAACAGAGAGTCAAATCCAGACCTGCTTAGATGAAGTCTCATTCTTTCCACATTCTGGGTACTTCTTATATTATGAAATCTAATGGTACCCAAGAATATTAGACTTTCTAGTTGCAAATCATTTGAGAACTGTGTGGTAGGAGTTTGGTGACTCATTAAAATATAGACTGTGATTTCTTTTAAAAAAAGCTTTTTACTTTGAAATAATTTTAGACTTACAGAAAAGTTGCAAAAATAGCCCAGAGAATTCCCATAAGGCCTTTACTTGGTTTCCCTTAATGTTAGCATCTTACATAGCCATGGCATAATTTTCAAGATGGGAATTGGTAATGAGTCAATGCTAACTAATAAACTTTACGCACATTTCACCTTAGTGTTTACTGTTGGCTGTGATTTTTTTTTTTTTTGTAATTTTGATGTTGACTCTGACCTAGAGTTGTTCATTTATGACTGACTGTAGGTTGGGTAAATGAATTAATGGGTTTTAAGCCCCGCCCTGCAACTTGGGATTGTTGTGGGGGTTTCTGCCTAATAGGTGTATAAAGCACGTGGGGGAAGTCTGGGGCTTTTATTTGAATGAATGAGACTTTAGAACTAAATTCCACTTGAGAGCCCTTTAGAACTGTGAAAAATGCCAGTGCAAGGAAGAATACACTAACAAGACTGAGAGAAGCGCATCACATAAACTCTGCTAAATGAGCAGAAAGCTGTAGTGGAACATTATACTGCGTGTACATGTGTGTGCATGTGTGTGTGTGTGTGTGTGTGTGTGTGTGTTTCATCTTACACCGTGTGTGTGTGTGTGTGTGTGTGTGTGTTTCATCTTATACCAGCAAGAGCTATAGTTACTCCCCATATTCTCAGGCAGATTGAACTTGAATGTCAAAACAAGTAACAGAAACTCCTGGTTTGAAGAGAAATCCAAGCAGATTTTTAAGGCTTCGACAGTGCTTTCTGACAAGTTCAAAACTGAACATCTCGACTTCATAACCAAACAATGTGAAACTTGGTCAAAGACAATATCTAAAGCACAGAATCCCCATGAATAGCTTAGTGCACCCCTACACAACCTTCCCCCTCTGCTTCTTTCCTTCTCTTATAAATCAACTTTAAAATAGTAATATATCAAATTCTAGAAAGGCAAGAATAAAGGGTTATTCTTAACGGAACAAAAACTAGTGTTCAAAATTATTAATTTGATTTGTTTTTAAGAAAATCAACTTTCTAAAGGTTTTCATTGTTTTATTATTGTTTAGATGGAAGATGTCATAGCACGCATGCAAGATGAAAAAAATGGAATTCCTATCCGTACTGTCAAAAGCTTCCTTTCCAAGATACCTAGCGTGTTCTCTGGTAAGTATGCATTCAGCACCTCTCACATAACCATGTGAAAACTCTAGTTTGTTGGATAACTACCTATAAAATGCCATGGCATGTTCATCTCATGTTAGAGCCTAGAAATAAGAGTAAGAGCTGATAAGAAATGAAAAGTCATAACCTGTTGCCAAGTCAGTTTGGAAGGACAGAATGAGCAAATGTGAAATAACAGAGAACAACAATGTGAAAATAAATAGTAATGTGTGCAGCCATGCCACACAGATTATATATATAGAAATTAAGAGTGAAACAAATCGATGAGAAGGCAAGGAAGAGGTCTTGAAGCACAGCATTGCTCAGAATTAGAAAGTGAGGAGGAATCCTATCATGCAAGGACACAGCTACACCAGCTGTGCCTGGGATCAATCAGTGACCACACTGTGGAGAGAAGGCAGGAGCGTGGGGACAGGGATGATTGGAGGTGGCTCCACTTGTGAAAGTGTCTGGAAGCCAACACCAGTAATGTGATTCTGACAAATGTGGTTATGGAGAGGTTTTACAGCTTTGTGTAGAATGTTTGGACGAGGGGCTGGGGAGCTGTCTCAGTCTATAAAGTGCCTGGTACAGAAGCACCAGTGCTGAGTTCAGCTCCTCAGAACCCATGTAAAAAGCTGAGCATGGCAGGGTAGGTCTGTGACACCAGCCTTGGTGGGAGGGGTGGGAAGAGACAGGCAGGTTGTTGAACGTCATTGGCTATCCAATCTGGCACAATCAGTGAGTTTCAGGCTGAGTGAGAAACTCAGTCCTAAAGAATAAAGATGAGGGTTGGAGACATAGGTCAGTGGTTAACAGCACTGGCTGCTCCTGCAAAGGACTGGGGTTTGGTTCCCAGCACCCACATGGCGACTAACAATAGCCTGTAACTCCAGTTCCAGGGGATCTGATGCCCTCTTCTGACCTCTGTAGGTATTGCACAACATGGGTGCATCCAAATACATGCGGGCATTACTCTCATACACATAAAAGAAAAATAATACATAAAATATTAAAAAAAGAAAAGAATAAAGATGGAGAACAGTCAAAGAAAAATATCTGACATTATCTTTGGGCCTCTGTGTGAAGAGAGGGAGGGAGAAAGAGAGAGAAAGAAATATTAAAAAAGAGTGTTATGATGAATATGCTCTGGTCTTATTGACCCTCAGTGGGGACTATGGCCACTGTGGTAGGTGTTAGGCTCTTGTAGGAATAGCTTGAATACCAAGATTCTAACAGCCAGACACTGAAGGAAGAGAGAATGCAAGAGACTCTTGAAAACTGGTCATGCAGGATAAACTAGTACAGGAACCAACATTTCTGTTTTCGTCCCGGTGACTGAAAAGTAGAGTTCTTATCAGAAATAGGAAACTACAGATTTCATTGGCAATGCTGTGTGACCCAAGGTAAAACTGTGTGTTCTGTGAGGCTGTGACAAGCCCTGCTGTGCCTGGCTCAGACTGGTTAGGAAAGAATTAGTTGAGACCAGATCCCCCAAAGCCTGAGAGGCATCCAGGATGGACAGAGGTGATTCAGGAGACAGAAGCCAGGCATGAGCGGGAGGGAACACAGCAGGATCCAGTGTAAAACCTATGTGATGCTTCCTCCTGAAGCAGGATCAAGGGAGACCATGACAAGGAGGATTCAACCTTGGGACAGGAATGAGATGCAGAACTGAGGGAGCACATAGGCATACACAGGGTTGAAGTTTATAGCTCTGCTGATCTCAGAGGGAAAGGAGAGGCCTTGGATCTGGTGAGAGCTTTGATAGAGGGAATTTTTCCTAGTGCCTGACCTCATTCCTTCTTGTGTCCTCCTTGTCCTGCTTTCTTGTCCTTCCTTAACAATGCCCTGTAGCTTCTACACATGGGCCCTGACTCCTCTGCTAATCTCACAACTTCTACATGATTCCCACTATTAAACTGTGTCCATTCTCCAACAATCAGCAGAGAGCTCTGTAGTGATAAGTATCCAGAACTGTTTTGTTTCCCATCTTTCCCTTCTTCATCCTTTTCCCTTCCCCTTCCTCTCCTCATCCTCCTCTTCCTCCTTCTTTTCCTCCTCTCCTCCTCCCCCTCTCCTCCTCCTTCTCCTCCTCCTCCTCCTCCTCCTCCTTTCTTCTCTTTCGCCCTCCTGCCCATATGTTTTAAAAAGCAATAAAATAATGAAACCCTTTAAACGGTTTAGCTTTTCCAAAAAAAATCCATTTTTATAATTTTGTTAACTAGTTTGGCACAACTCACAATGATCCTGTATTGTATTCTTGCCTTTACAACTCTGTTACATTAATAGTTCTAAGTTTGGTTAATAGAAGATAGAGAAAGTAGCAAGTTAACGGTAGCCACTGGGGTGCAGTGAGCTACCAATAGAAATTTTGCGTTGGAATATTGCCTTTGTCTCAGTTTCACATTTTTTTTTTGGTTACAAAATTATATACTCTACAGGGGACTGAAATCTTTTATTAAGGTTTTTAGGTAGGAACACCCCAGCTGTAAGCTTCTGGAAGAATTCTTCACTCTCAGCATTATGTTAATGAAAAAATAAGATTGAATGTATATAGGTTGAGAATATACCCTAGGAATCATTTATTGTTATTTTAATGCTTAATAATATAAAACAATAGTGATAGCAACTAAATATAGAAAATATAAAATATGATATTAAGGTATGTATATTCAAATTGTGCCTCTGTATTTCTTAGGACTACTCAGGAGCTGTCTGCCTCACAGTTTAATCAGCTGCTTTGCTACAGAATTAACTAATATGTCTAGAATATGTTGGCCTCTTTGTAATAACGTTCTCAAATGTTGGTGGCCGCGCCCACCTACTTTGTAGACTTTTTCACTTAGTTTGAGAGATTTCCCTTCCCAGCACTTCACGGTCTCCAGGAATTTGTTCCTCGGTCCTGTAGTTGTCCCACTTCCTACCTGTTGCTTCTGTCATGACCCTTGTTTACTCTTTCTCTCCCCCAGCCCTCCTTGTATTCTTCAGGGAAACCAATGAAACACAGGCTGTACTAACTTTATCACCCCTAGTGGAACCAGAAACCAACGATGATGATGGCTTGTGATACACGGAAGGGATGGTATTGAAATCGCTATGGACAGGAGTTTATCCATGCTTTGTACAATTCTGTAATTTTGAAGGAGTCTCAATATCATTCATCTAACCTTTCCAGGTCATTCACTTATTGTCTTATGGTCTTGATACTGCAAGTATGCTCTATGGACCAATAGTTTAACATCACTTGGAAACTGTGTATAATATCTGGGCTCATCACAGATCAAGCAAACAAAGAGCCTTAATTTTAACAATGAAATTTAAGAAGTATTTCCTTGTGTGTTCCCACAGAAGCCTGATGATATATCTAGGCAGGGATCAGGTGCCTCTCATTTTATCCAGATGCTGGACAGTGTCTAATCTCCTTGTGCAGATCTTTCAGTTATTTCTCAAGAACTCTGACCATCTTTTCTATAGCCTGGCCTCAAGCATAGCACCCACCCCCAGCATATCTTTTTGTTTGTTTGTTTCACTTGGAAGAAGAACAAGAATAGGAAAAATAACATAGTTCATAGTGTTCTCTCTACCCCTAAGCTAAGAGCTTCAGGAACCCCCAGGACTGAGGATGCCAGCAGCTTTGGGGAGGGAAGCATAGTAACCAGCTCAATTAAGTAGTACCCATGCTTCAAAGACAGGGTATTAGGGATGTGATTTAGTGGTAGAGCACTTGCCTAGCATGTATGAGAACTTGTGTTCCATAAAAAATCAAGTAAACATGTTATGCCATGGTGACCAAGTTATGTGTAAGGCCACTAGAGTAAGAACAGAGCTATGTTGAAAAATGACAGATGCAGCACCTTTCCTGCAGCATCTGGGATCCAGACCCAAAGTTACACAGAAGAATCCTATTATGATAAA